ACCATCTCTCTCTCTCTCTCTCTCTCTCTCTCTCTCTTCCTACTTGTTTTTGGTTTTTGGTGCAGGTGAGTCATTGTGCATATGCATATAATGTAATTATGTATTGTGGTGCAGGTGAGTCAGTATACAACATAAGGGGTTGAAAGAGCAAGAGATGGCCTCACAGAGGTTGCAAATTTGAGCGAGAGGTTTGTGCTAGGCACGAGTGTTAGTAGAAGATTGGCTGCTGCAGCTGCTTCTGCTGTAAGCCTTTTTCAATATTTGTACACTATATATTAGCATATGTATCGCGGAGGTGGCGGCAGAGCTTCCAGAATGAAGACAGTGGGGTCTGAAACAGAAGCATACACCATTGCTGACATCATGGCTGTAAGAAATTAAAAACATTCATTTTATCTTTTTAAGGTTATTTACTGATATGATTTTTTAATTTCCCAAATTACCCTCAAGTACTGCAAGTCATAGGTGTATACAGTTAGCAGCGGGATGGCATTTGGTCAATTATCATTCCTCTCATATGCTCTTAACATTGGTTGGATTCAAGAAATAACAACATACGTTCATCAACTTATTTACAATATCATTGTACTTTTGTTTTCTTAAATTCTCCGTATTACAAGTTTGAAAAATCTACCTAGTTATAGGTATGCCATTGAAATATAAAGCAACTTTCTCTATTATACCTGAGCAAATATTCATGTGATTGATTACTTGACATTTATATTTATTTCATTTCTTGTATTAGGTAGCAAGGACGATTTGGGTTATAAATCTCCTAATAGATCAGAAAAAACTTCTACTCAGGAGAAGATATGGAAACCTTTCTTTTCTGTTTAACTTTTCTTCATAAGATATGGAAGCCTTTCTTTTCTGATTAACTTTATATTCACCATTGTTAATTGATCTTTTAGATTGCAGCTTCCATGTCATCGTACTACAGGTGTTTAGTTACTTTTTTTTTTTTATTCATTGAGAAATATTTTTTCACTGTGTGGTTTAATGGAAGATGAAATCAAGCTTTGCAATTCACTAATGAGGACTGGAAACTACTGAATGACATTAGTTATTGGATACAAGGAAGATGACCAGGGGGTGTACTTCACATGAAACATAATTATGCTTCAAAACTTACTGAAGCTCATGAGTTTGTTGCTGAGTTATCATGTCATGTGAATCAGAGGAATCAAAGACAAACTGTTGCAGGGGGCATTAATTTATTAGTAAACACTTTTGGCTCTGTTTGATTGATAGTTATTGCTATATAGCAAATTTTAACCTTGGTCTTTGTGTTTTTTGTTCATAGATTACCGACACCAATTTCTTTCAAACAACAGAAGATCTAGATTTTCATTGGGTGATTGAAGGTGATGGATGTAAACTTGATTCTGGAACTCTCAGTCTACCAACATTAGAGTTTAATTGGGTGATTGAAGGTGATTTTGGTTCTTGAAACGAGACTCAAGATATCATATTTTGGCATGGCTAGAAGCTTTGGAGGAAACGAGACTCAAGCAAAAGTAAACACACAGAGAGTTGTTGGCACATAGTAAGCTAGATGATGCAATTGTATATAAATGAGTTCATTTGTTTATAACATTTACTCACATTTGGAATAATTATTTGTATTTGACATATTAGTGAAATGAATTATCTTTGTTATTTATGGTATTTTATTTTGTATTATGAGATTTTTAATGTATTATTTAATTTGAAAATTAGTAAATCTATAAATAATATTTTTCTAAACATTTAAAATTATGATACACAAAAATGTGTGTCGTCTTCATTTATGACATGGCCTTTCTTGACAGGGGCTTTCTTGATACGCATTCCATGTCATTAACACGCGCGTCGTAAGGTTACGACACATGAATTCTTGTCGTCTTCCTTTATGACAGGGCCTTCCTTTATACGCATTGCGTGTCGTAAACACGCGTCGTAATTGCGCGTCATAAATGAGCGTCGTAAATGCGCGTCGTTTATAGACGACGCGCAAAAGCGCGTCGTCTCTCTTTATGACAGGAGCTTCCTTGACGCACATTTGCGCGTCGTCTGATCCTTTTACGACGCGCAATGAGTGTCGTAAAAGGCTGTTTTTCTAGTAGTGGGTGCTTTGGGCTTAAGATAGGAATCAGGGTTTCCTTATTCAAGTCTAGCTAAAAGGCTCAAGGATTGTCATGTTATTACAATATAACAAGTGAGGTAATATTCTAAGCCTTATTTCAAATAAATTTCGAATCTTGTATGCTAGCTCTAGGGTTATTTCTTTAGTGTTCTATTTCCATGTTCAATAAAGAAAAACATAGATCCAAAGCAATTATGGTTACATGATCATATAGGAATGTAGATATGCTCAAAACCCATCAGTGGTATCAGAGACTGGAATGTTTTTCAATTGAATTGATGCAATAGTGAATTGTCCAAAGAACAAGAAAGTTGAAAATTGATGTCTGGAGCTAAACTCGACAAGTTGCTTGGACTCGACGAGTTCACTTGCCAACTTGATGAGTTGACTCGTCACTTTCCAGATTTTTTGATTTTTTGATCAGTTTTTGAATATGATAATTAACATAATTCATTTTTATTGCCTAAAACTGAATTTTTTGAATGGTAACTTGATATCCTTATCAAAACTAAAAGATTTGGTTAAATATGGATAATAATAAGATTATTTTAATTTTAAATTTAACCTAGTATTTTGAAAAGTTTTAAAATATGCCCGTTTGGTTTTACAGTTTATATTTGAAATTAAAAGTTTTCATTTTTGGAAATTTGAATGGTTAATCCCTGGTATCTTTGTATTGTTTAAAAAATACACCCTTATGGATTTTATTAAATTAATTAAGTGTTTAATTAAAAGAGAATTGATAAATCCATATATGGTTTCAGTTGAACTAAATTAAAGTTTAATTTATTAAAAGATTAAAGCAGAGAGTATTTTAAAAGTTTGAAATGCATTGTTATACTATATAAAATTAAAAGTCCAATGTATTATATATGTATAAGAAAAGTCAGTCTTACCGTTAGTAGGCCTCATTCACGAAGTTGGTCTATAATGGGCGTTTAAGGAAGTGGCCTATAAAATGACCATCATTGGGTAAGCACTCTTACCCACCGTACTCTTGACTAATGGAGGGTCATTAGCCAAACGCGTTTGATAAGACATTAAATCTCATCAGTAAGTATAATGAATATACAAAGTAACTAAACCTTTTATAAATTCCTAATCTTAGTTACTTTAGGAAAATACAAATTTGATGCTAACCCATGAAATTGCACATTGCACCTTATTGGTCGTTAGTGCAGCGTGTGTGGTTAACTGGCACACTAATTTGGGACTAATGAAGGATGACAATGGGCAAATCATAAATTATCGTTGATCAATGGAACATGTGTGGTTAACTGGCACATTGATTAGACGATAAATGACATCGAGAGTACCAAGCTAATTTACATGGTTGTTCACCACTTGTTTTTGATCCTCGGTATCCCAGTCACAATATTGAAGGGCATAATCGAGATCAAACATCCCATTGAAAAGTTCAATGAATCTCAAAAGATCTAGGAATTTCATTTAAAACCTAATTCGTTAAAATTTCATTTTCGTGGTGAAATTGGTAAATTGTTATTTACCTACCTTCAAATAATTTACAATTATATTACGACATCCCTCTTCCAAATTGTGAATGATTGTGTTGGTTCCTAGCCTTGATATTTAATTTGGGTGTTATATTAAGGATCTAAATAAACTCACTTGAATTTTCTTCTTTTGTACATGTCTAATTCAGACACCCATGGTTTTCCTCATCCTTTTGGAAAAAGCTTTCTGTCTGATGATGATCTTCCACGTGTCGATCAAGGTGAAAGATCATTCCCTTCCTCATGCATTGGTGGTACTAGAAATCATACTTCTCTTCCTCCACCTCCTCTAGTGATTCTCCCTGGCCCACAATTTCATCAACTTGAAAAGTGCAAAGTTACTCAAGCCATATTGGCATGAAAACACCTAGATGGAAACTCTCTGAGTGTGAACATATTCTAAACATGAAGTCCCACATTGACAGATTGGGAATGTTGGGTGTCGTTTTCCTAAAGGCGCTAGCTGTTGACTTGGTTCTTCAGTCACTTTCCGATTCGTATAGTTAATTCATTAAGGATTACTAAATGACAAATCACGACATAACCCTCATAGATCTAACATATTTGTTAATTGTTGTTGAAGCATCAATGCTTTGGAGCATTGGTCAAGCAAATTCGTTTGGAAGATCTACCTCCCAAAGTTGCATGGACATTGGTGATGGTAACAATGATAGTTTAGAAATGGTTTCGAATCCTAAGGGAGGGAAACCGGCCAAGGTCGAAATGTTTGACCACAAGAGAAAGGCCAATTCTAAGAAAGTTGCATGTGTCACTCTTTAAGAGTCCATCTGTCTATATTGTCGATTGAAAGGGAATTAGAAGCGAAGCTGTCTAGACTACCTGAGAGATCTAAGAGATGGTAAAGTCAAATTGTATGACTCTACTTCAGGTACATCCACTATCTAACTTTGTTAAGTTCCTATTTATAGACTCTTATTAAATGATATGGTAATCACATTTTGATATTTTGTAGGATTGAAGAAAAGGAAGGAAGGTTAAAGAAAGGGTAAGTTGAGTCTGATCGTGAAGAGATGGATTTTGATCGCATGGTTCGATGATCAGATTTCGAGCTGTTGCTTAGGAGTTATGATAGATTGCTTAGAAAAATTGAGAAACATAGTTTTCTTTTGTATTTGCATTGTAATGACAAATTTTCCGCATTATATCAGTAAAATAAAATTTGATTTTACCTTATTTTACATTTCCTTGCAGTGGCATTTATGAAAATCGGTGTTTGTATTTCTATTATTAGCAATGTTGAGAATGTATTTAATTCTTACTTATATCGCTTGTGGTAGTGTCATAACTTACCAAGTTAGGAAGGATTCTCATTACCCAAGTTTCAACTGGACAGAAACTTG